AAATGCATATCCACTACGATAATATTTACAGTGATGAAAAAGGCATGTAAATGTCAAATGGTAATGAATAATGTATATGTAGAGTAAAAGATATTAAAGAAGATGCTTGCAGAAGTTGCTAATAAAGAATGTTAAAGTGTATTAGAGTAAAAGCAGTTTTTCAACTATTTATGGAAAATTTTCCTGCATATATAGTGCTTAATAATATTTATTTTATTGTGTTCATTAATGCTTAATAATATTAAGATAAAATTTTACTTTTTCTACTAAATTAATTAATTATTTATTTGTTTATTTATTTATTTGAGATGGGATTTTGCTCTTGTTGTCCAGGCTGGAATGCAATGGCACGATTTCGGCTCATCGCAACCTCTGCCTCCCAGGTTCAGGCGATTCTCCCGCCTCAGCCTCCCGAGTAGCTGGGATTACAGGCATGTGCCACCATGCCCCAGCTAGTTTTTTGTATTTTTAGTGGAGATGGGGTTTCTCCATGTTGGTCAGGCTGGTCTTGAACTCCTGACCTCAGGTGATCTGCTCACCTCGGCCTCCAAAAGTGCTGGGATTACAGGTGTGAGCCACCATGCCCAGCCCTCTACTAAATTTTTTTTTAAATGAAGAGGAGATAGTTTATAAAATATTAACCATGATGAATTCTTTTTTTTGTTTAATAGCAACAAAAGCAAAGATTTATTGAAATGAAAGTATGCTCCACAGAGTGGGAGTGGGCTCGAGCAAGTGGCTCAAAAGCCATGATGAACTCCACATTAGTGGAGTCAGGAATGCTTTCTATGTTGCTAGTCAAATGCTTTACTAATCCAAAAGCTTTTGTTTCATTGTATTTTCATTCATATTGGCTAGTCTTTGGAAAATTACTCAAAGTTTTGATTAATAGTTGGTATTCAAGCTTTTTAAACAAATGTCTAAGGAATCATTGAATGAATTTTGATATTCTGCGTATTTTAATACTTAAGTGTGACGTGATTTTTCCCTGAGTATTGTTAAATTAAGTTTAGCCTAAAGCTCCCGCCTTACATAGTTTAAGCGTGGCCTAAAAGTTTCTCTGTACACAGTAAACTGTAACCTAACTGGATGTGTAAACAGACTAGCCTACTCTTGTGCCAGTCACTGAGTATCATCCTATCAAAGGCAACCAGTTGTTCAACCTGTGTTCAAGTAAGGCAGACTGAGCTGTAACTGATCCATCTATTGCTGTACCTCACTTCCATTTTCTGTGTGTCTCCTTCCTTTTTCTGTCCATAGATTATTTTCACTGTGCAGCAGCAGCAGAGTCTCTTTAAACCTATTCTGGTTCTAGGACTGCCTAATTCTTAAATCCTTCTTTGCTCGGTTAAACTCTGTTAAATTTAATTGTCTAAAGTTTTTTAATAGTATCTTGAATTAGTCACATGTTCACTGATCTAACACAGATTGTAAATTAGAAAATTAACTAGTATCAGGGACATATAGTATTTATATAATTCTAAATTGTGTGGTAATGTTTAATATTATGTAGCTTGCATTTTTTTTTCTCTCTCTCTTTTCTTTTTTTTTTTTTGAGACGGAGTTTCGCTCTTGTTACACAGGCTGGAGTGCAATGGCGCGATCTCGACTCACCGCAACCTCCACCTCCTGGGTTCAGCCAATTCTCCTGCCTCAGCCTCCTGAGTAGCTGGGATTACAGGCACGCACCACCATGCCCAGCTAATTTTTTGTATTTTTAGTAGAGACGGGGTTTCACCATGTTGGCCAGGATGGTCTTGATCTCTTGACTTCGTGATCCACCCACCTAGGCCTCCCAAAGTGCTGGGATTACAGGCTTGAGCCACCACGTCCGGCCAGCTTGCATATTTTTAACCAATTTTAAATATCAGGTCTTTAGATTTTGATTACTTTCATTTTCAAATTTTTGATGAAATAATTTTTGTAATTGGTAATTATTTTTATGTACCAGGGAAATAAATTGTACAAATAAACTTTCAGGAATGTAATGAAACCATCAGTGCATTAAAAAGCTAACCTTTTAGCTGTTCTATTTATACATGTGACTCAAAGATCTTTTTAAAGTAAAAATGGATATTTATTCTGAAAGGGTAGCTAGGGGTATATATGTTAAATAGCCACATTTTAGTTGATTTGAATCAAGATTCAAATAGAATTATAAAGGACAGAATCTTATTAAGAACATCATGAAAATGACTTGCTGGCCATTGATTTGTACAGCTTGGATGGCAAGTGTTAAAATCATGGTTGTCTAGAAATTGTGGAACCCTATTTTATAGTACTACTATGTAAGAGAATGTTGGCAAGTTATTTAATGGATCAGGTTTAAGTCATGTGAGACGTACAAATATTTGCATAGAAACTGAATCCCAGTGGTAGTATGTGGAAATCATTTTTTAAAAGAATCTATTTAGGCTATTTAAAAATTATTTAGTATCAGGTTTCAGATCCTATTTTAAAGCTAATGTGAATTTGAAAACATGCCAAGCTTTATGTTATAGTTTACATTACAACTTTAGTCTCATTAGAATCTAAATCCTGCCTAGTGAGTTCTGTAAAAAAATTTAATACAGCATAACAGACAGAAATGATTATCTTGTACTTGCTGAAATAAATGATACTGGTTCTTCCTCCACATTAGTGAAAAAAGACTGAGGAAGGGACTTTTATAAGCGAAACTATTTATACATACGAACACTCCAAAAATTCTCATTTTAAAATTAGTTCTCAAATAATGAGACACAACTACATGTTTATTATATAATCATATCACTACATGAAAACAGGAAAATGACTAAAATGGTACTATAATGTTACTTGTATTTGATTATAATAAACTGCTGGGAAAATGGGATTAATACTGTATTAAAAAGAAGGTATCTGCCCACTCAGTACCAAAAACTTCCAGGATGTAAATAAAAATTTGTGTAAAACATAAAACCATAAAAGTAGTAGAAAAAATATGTGAAGTAAATATAGAATATTCGAATGACAGGGTACCTTAAATAGTAAAAATACTTGATTTAATTATGTGAAAATCCATAGGGAGAGAATAAAAATTGAAAGCAAACTGAAAGAGAAGTTCGAATATATATGACAAATGCCTAATACTCTGATTGTATGAGGAATACTTACAAATGAATAAGAAAAAATATGTAGTTCATAGAAGAAATACAAGTAGCCCAAAATTTATGAATGATTCAATCTTATGAGCAAAAGAAAAGATAAACAATGAGATATTTTTATTCATCAAATTGTCAACTGTGGCCAGGCACAGTGGCTCACGCCTATAATCTTAGCACTTTGGTGGCCAGGCGGGAAGATTGCATGAGCTCAGGAGTTTGAGACCAGCCTGGGCAACATACACTGTCTATACAAAAAAAAAAAAAAAAGTGTTTCATAACACTCATGATACGGTGCAAATACTGTAAGAAGCTCAGAAATGGACAGTTTGACAGTATATATTCACATATTCACATTGTATCCTTTGAAGCAACATTTCTACTTACAAGAATTTGTCAGAATAATAGAAAATGTGAATAAAGATTTAGTTACAAAGAAGTTCACTGATGTGCTGTTTGTAATGGCACACTGTTGGAAGCTATCTGATTTTTCAATAATTAAAATGATGAGATTGCAGTTTTTTTTATTACTTGTATATGAGCTATATCATTTCAAGATAATGTGAATAGAAAATGAAAAAAAAACTCAGTTGAGGTCATAGTAAATACTACTAAATATTTACTTTGTGCTTCAGTTTTCTGATTTATAAATTGTGGATAATAATAGTACTTACTCATAGGGGTGTTAGGACAGTTGAGTTAGTATATGAAAAGCCCTTAGAAGGCCAAGCTCTGTGGTTCATGCCTGTAATCCTAGGACTTTGGGAGGCCTGAGTAGGTGAATCACTTGAGCTCAGGAGTTTGAGACCAGCCTTGGCAGCATGGCGGAACCCTATCCCTACTGAAAGATGCAAAAATTAGCTGGATGTGGTGGCACGTGCCTGTAGTCCCAGCTGCTTGGGAGGCTGAGTTGGGAGGATCGCTTGAGCCCAGCAGGTTGAGGCTGCAATGAGCCATGATCACGCCACTGCACTCCAGCCTGGGCAACATGGTGAGACCCTGTCTCCAAAATAAAAACTCTTATGATAGTGCTTGACATGTAAGGAGTGCTGACTGATGTTTGCTGTTATTAATTTACAAAATGTCCCTGAAATATCATATAGAAAAATCACGACTTGTTGTATATATGTTATAGATATGTATATAAAAGAGGCCAAGTGCGGTGGCTCACTCCGGTAATCCCAGCACTTTGGGAGGCCAAGGCAGGCAGATCAGTTGAGGCCAGGAGTTCAAGACCAGCCTAGCCAACATGGTGAAACCCTATCTCTACTGAGAAAACAAAACCCACAAGTATTAGCCAGGTGTGGTGGTGCATGCCTGTAATCCCAGCTACTTAGTAGGCTAAGGCAGGAGAATCACTTAAACCTGGGAGACAGAGGTTGCAGTGAGCTGAGATCATGCCACTGCACTCCAGCCTGGGTGACAAGAGCAAGACCTTGTCTTAAAAAATACACACACACACACACACACACACACGTGTATATGTATATACAGATATGTATTTTTGTGTATGTATATACACATGTATATACATATATATTTTATATGTATATATTTATACATATATGTATATATGCATATATTTTATACATATATTTTATATGTATATACATATACACATATACATTTATACCTATATTGTATACGTGTACACATATGTATATATGTAGTATATATATGAAAAATATTTGGTTAATTTGGAAGATGAAAATTGCCTGACTTTAAGAAATTGGCCTAGATTGAAAGTAAATGACCAAAGGATTGCCTTGTAAAAACACTCTAAATTTGTCTAGAAATTTTGTTCCTGCTCTAAACACAATGATGACCTGAAGCTGATTTTGACATTAAACTGAGTCTTTCTTGGTTTCTTTTGAACAGGTTGGTTCAAAGCTAATCTCTTGTCACAAGCTGGTATTGGCTTGTGTTATTCCCTACTTTAGAGCCATGTTTCTTTCTGAAATGGCCGAAGCCAAGCAAACACTGATTGAGATTAGAGATTTTGATGGTGACGCAATAGAAGACTTGGTAAAGTTTGTCTATTCTTCACGGCTCACTTTGACTGTTGACAACGTCCAACCTCTCTTATATGCAGCCTGTATTCTGCAGGTTGAACTGGTGGCTAGAGCTTGTTGTGAATACATGAAGTTACATTTTCATCCCTCCAATTGTCTGGCAGTAAGAGCCTTTGCAGAAAGTCACAATCGAATAGACTTAATGGATATGGCAGATCAGTATGCCTGTGAGCATTTTACTGAAGTAGTGGAGTGTGAAGACTTTGTAAGTGTGTCACCCCAGCACCTCCATAAGCTTTTGTCTTCCAGTGATCTAAATATTGAAAATGAAAAGCAGGTCTATAATGCTGCCATCAAGTGGCTTCTTGCCAATCCTCAGCATCATTCCAAATGGTTGGATGAAACACTTGCACAGGTAGGGGCTGAAATAAGATTTCACATAGAGATAAAATACAGAAGCAAATCAAGAGGCTTCATTTATTTTGAAAAATGTAGATTATTTGAAGGAATATAGAAATTATTGATGAAATACAATGATAAAAATGGCTTTTAGCTCTCTCACTTTCCTATTAACTTGCTGTACTGTTTCAGGATGAATCTAAATTTGTCATATTTGAATTAGCAATACCATTCTCTGCTTTTTAACCTGAAAATATTCCTTTGGGATACCAATGATGAGTATTTTATGTATGCTAATAGAAAGTGGTTTGAGGAAACAACTCTAAATGTAATTTATAATGTTTTATAATGAAGTTTCTAAATTTTAATGATTATTTTGCTAATAAAAGTATAGTTATTCCTAATGTGTGTAGATTTATTATGCAAAGAACCATAGGGCATCACTTTCTATTTTCTTCTCTCACCATACTTTGACTTTTTTTAAACCTCAGAAATGTGTCTGATTATTGTGACCGTTATTATTTTTTACTGTTAATAGGAGTTACTGGGATAAAAAGATTATGGGCCCTTGTGATATTTCTTTTCTTTTGTCTTCCTCCCCTTTCCTTTTTCTCTCTGCCCTCCTTTCCTTCCTCCCTTTTTCCTTTGTCCATTTATTCCTGAGAAGTAAAATGATGTTTTGTAACTTAAATGAGGACTGTTCTTACTTATTTTTCTAAACTAAATGCTTTGTTAAAACTTTGTGCTTGATAAAAGCACTCAATGATAATTCTCATAATTTTTAATAACAAAGTTTCTCAATAGCATTACAAGAAACTTTAACAAATAGAAGAATGAAAGTGCTTAAAATGACCAGTGTTCTCATTTTAGATATTTATAGGCAGGTGAAGTAAACCTATTCAAAGTGTGATTATGATAAGACATATTTTTCAAGTGCATATCACAATATTTTTGCATGCATATGAGTATCAAAGTTTAGTACACATTTAGATCTTCTCTCTTAGAATTATTTTGAAAGTAAATTTGTCAGCAAAAGCAAATGGAAAGTTTTATTATCTTGCAGCTATATCTTATTTGTGTATATATGTTACTTTTTAAGACATATAAGGCAGACTTTATTCAAGGGGGACCATGACAATAGGTAGAGGGACTACTGCAACAAAGTCTTGCAGTTGGGGAGTGACTGGACTCAACCCCTTATGTGTGTGTGTGTGCTTTTTATTCAAAATAACATTACCTGGTTTCATCATCCCCTTTAATCCCCTGGAAAAACAGGGTATCTTTAATAGAGGAATGATGAATGCCTCTACTGAAAGAGGGGATGCGTCCCTGAGTCAGTATATTCCCTTCCAAGATTACTGATTTGAAGAAAACAGCACTTGTTTCAGATACGAATGTATACACTTTTAAGTAAGAAATCACATTTCCGTATGTTTAACCTTAGCTTAAAAAGGCAAAAGAACAAAGCACAGCAGTTTTGTTTTGATTGTGTCTTTATCAATAGAAGGACCTTGCGATTGTGTCAGTACTATTTTTGAAGTAAGTAATTTGAATGAAGACAATTGAATTATAAAGCCTATTTAAACCTATATTTAAAGTGGGTAGATGTAATTTAACGTATAGTCTGATTTCATTAAAGCAGACCAGTACTGGAAATTGCTTTAGAGTTTGGGGCATTGAATTTCATGAACATGTTAGATTTCGTGAAGTAGCAACGTAAGTTTTAAAAAGAACATGCTGCAGTGAAAGTGGAGAATGAACCATCTTATTTTCACTTAAATTTTATATTGCAACTATTCATAATCTTAGGTTCGTCTGCCATTGTTGCCGGTTGATTTTCTTATGGGTGTTGTGGCAAAAGAACAGATTGTCAAGCAAAATCTAAAATGTAGAGATTTACTGGATGAAGCAAGAAATTACCACCTTCACTTGAGTAGCAGAGCAGTACCTGACTTTGAATACTCTATTCGGACTACCCCAAGGAAGCATACTGCTGGTAACCAAATTGCTTATTGATGTAATACAATGATAAAAACTCTCCTGGAAGAATCTTTATTGTATTTGAGGGTTGTTCATGTGTGCCCAAATGTAGTTGTAAGATAATTAGTGTCTGATTGCCTTAAAGTAATAATTGACAAATACAGTTGTATGTATGTATTGATAGTTTTTACTGTACATTATTTAGTTTTACCAATAGGCCAATTTTTTAAAAAGTCATAATTAGTCCTATATACTCTGAAGAGCCTACCAAAATAGCTCCTCCTTTGAGATCGTCCCAGATTCTGAACTTGGTTTACTATGTTGTATTGCCATGTATTCATTTGACATGTCTTAAGTTCCTTAAAGACAGTTGAGCATCTTATTTAGGTTTGTATCCCTAGGGCCAAGCATGGAGCTTGAAATATATTGTGTGTCTAAATATTTTGTTTTTTCATTTTACCAAATAAAAAGAAGGGCAGTAAACATAGCTAATATTTGTATAATGAGTTATATTAAACTCTTAGAATCTAAAGCCCTTATATTTTAGGAGGCATTCATTTTCCCAAGAAAATAGTTCATGTTCACTTCTTTTCTTGAGGCATTTTATGCCATAGGAAGTATCACTTTTTAATATTTATAAAGTGTAATATATTTGAGACACGAGGAAATACATGAGGTTCAGAAATTTAGGAATAGGAGCTCTGAATAGAGACTTCCTCTCTATGTGGTGCTATCTAAATATATAATTATCAAATAATGAGGTCTTTGAAATAGCCTGAAAAACAGCAAAAGGCAATACTTGATTATGAGTAGAATGAGATTTTATCTAGGTAATAAAAAGAAATGCTGAAAGTCATGCACCTGCTTATGAAGAAGTAGAACAACAACTAATTATTCTCATTTTTTATAGGTCGATATAAAGAATTAGTTTTTTTAGTTGGGTAGCCTTTTTTTTTATTTTTTTTATTTTTTTTTGAAACGGAGTTTCGCCCTTGTTACCCAGGCTGGAGTGCAATGGCGCGATCTCGGCTCACCGCAACCTCCGCCTCCTGGGCTCAGGCAATTCTCCTGCCTCAGCCTCCTGAGTAGCTGGGATTACAGGCACGTGCCACCATGCCCAGCTAATTTTTTGCACTTTTAGTAGAGATGGGGTTTCACCATGTTGACCAGGATGGTCTCGATCTCTCGACCTCGTGATCCACCCGCCTCGGCCTCCCAAAGTGCTGGGATTACAGGCTTGAGCCACCGCGCCCGGCTGGGTAGCCTTTTTGTTGTGAATTTAGAAAGTCAAGATATTTGATGAAATACTTCAAACTCAGAATTGAATTCAAATAATGTCTTAACAGCCTAGGTTATATGCCAAAATGTACTATATGCTCATATAAACGATCTCTTACGTGACTGAAGCAACTTTATGTATTATATTTTAGCAAAGGATTTGATCCTTATTGTGAAATAGGTAGTTTTATTCCATTTTAAGGATGAAGATAATAAGAATTAGTTTAAAAGTATACTCAAGGCCACACATAGACATAGCAGAGAAAGGATATGCATCCTAGTCTTTTTACTTATTTTAGTTTTTTTTTTTCCTTCCATGATATGTCCCTACATGAACTATATAGATGAAATACTAGTTTTCACTTAAAGAAAGTCTAATCTAAAAGTTTAGTGTTACATTCTGGGGTTATAATTCTAGCTGTGCCATTGAACATCTGTAATTTTGGACAAATTTCTCAATCAAGGCCTCAGTTTACTTATAAACAAATTTCTTTTTCTTTTTTTTGAGACAGAGTCTCACTCTGTCACCCAAACTGGGGTGCAGTGGTGCAGTCTTGGCTCACTGCAACCTCTGCCTCCCAGGTTCAAGCGATTTCTTGTGTGCACCACTACACAAGGCTAAATTTTTTTGTGTTATTAGCAGAGGCAGGGTTTCACCATGTCAGCCAGGCTGGTCTCAAACTCCTGACTGCAAGTGATCCACCTGCCTTAGCCTCCCAAAGTGCTGGATTACATGTGTGACTCACCACGCCCAGCCCAATTTATAAACACGTTTCTTAATCAAGGCCTCAGTTTACTTATAAACAATTTGACTAAATGATCTTTACAGTTTCTGCCAACTTTATTTTTATTTTTTTATTAAAAAAATTTTTGGCCGGGTGTGGTAGCTCACGCCTGTAATCCCAGCATTTTGAGAGACCAACGTGGGTAGCTCATGAGGTCAGGAGATTAAGACCGTCCTGACCAACATGGTGAAATCCCGTGTCCGTTAAAATACAAAAAATATTAGCCGGGTGTGGTGGCGCGCGCCTGTAGTCCCAGCTACTCGGGAGGCTGAGGCAGGGGAATGGCTTGAACCTGGAAGGCAGAGGTTGCAGGGAGCCAAGATCACACCACTGCACTCCAGCCTGGTGACAGAGCAAGACTCTGTCTCAAAAAAAAAAAAAAAAAATTGTGTCAGGGTCTTGCTCTATCATCCAGGCTGCAGTGCAGTAGTGCAGTCATAGCTCATTGTAGTCTTGAACCTCCTGTGCTCAAGCAGTCCTCCTATCTCAGCCCCCTTGAGCAGCTAAGACCCACTCGGGTCTCACTATATTTTAGTGAGTCTCACATGTAGTGGCATGTGTCTGTGGTCCCAGGGCTAAACACCTGGGCTCAAGTGATTCATCCATTTCAGCCTCCTGAAGGGCTGGTATTATGGGTGTGAGCTACCACACCTAATGGCTCTTCCAGCTTTAAATTTATCTAACAAAATATTGAATTAGTTGAAAAAGATAGCACAAGCAGCTACCAGGCATTCATTTATGCAGTCATTCAGCAAATATTTATTAAGTGCCTACCATGTGAAAGGTTCTGGGTTAGGTATAAGAAATGCAGGCACGTACAGAAGATAGCCAGACTTATTTTGGAATAACTTGTCTCGTCTAGGAAAATAGACTTTTGAATAAATACAGTAAAGAATTAACAGGTGCTTTTTTTTTTTTATCATCTTAAGGTATAATGGGATGTAAAAGAAAACAGTAGTTATTTTCATCTTGGAAGAGTCAGAAAAGGTTTTATAGGAAAGTAAACCTTAGCCTTAGTTTTGAATAATAAATAAATGTTCTTCTGAATACTAGTTAGGGTAAAGGGAGTTCAGGGAATTATTGAATGCCTAGTACGTGGCAGGTACTGTTCTAGTCCTTGTTAATAAATGTTTAATGCACAGACTCTGGTAACAGATGTCAGCATAACAGATCATTTTAATACTGTGTGTTTAATGAATGCTGATTACCAAAAGTGCTATAGGAACACCAAAGACGTGTACTATATGCATAGTTGCAGGAGCATGAAGTTTAAGAGAGAGAGAGAGCGGGGAGGAGATTGGGTTAGATCCTGGAAGACCTTTATGCTGTGATAAGGTTTTACCTTGTAAAGCAGCCTTTGTTACTCAGAGTGTGAAGGAAGTGGTCACCCCTGGACCAGTAGCATCAGCATTCACTTGGGAATTTGTAAGAAATGCAAATTCTTGGACTTATTTCATACCTCCTAAATCAGAAACTCTGAAGTCAGGCCCAGCAATCCATATTTTATGTTCTCCAGGTGATTCAGAATTACACTACAGTATGTGTGTGTGTTTTTTAATTGTGGTAAAATATATATAACGAAATTCGCCATTTTAAGCATTTTTGTCTTATTTCTTTTTAGAGACAGGATCTCATTCTGTCACTCAGACTGGAATGCTGTAGTGCAATCCTAGCTTACTGCAGCATTCAAATCCTGGGCTCAAGTGAGCCTCCTGCCTCAGCCTCCCATGTAGCTGGGACTACAGGCAGGCACCACCACACCTGGCTAATTTTAAATTTTTTTGTAGAGATGCTCTGTTGCCCAGGCTGGTTTCCAGCTCCTGGCCTCAAATGATCCTCCTATCTCAGCCTCCCAAAATGCTGGGATTACAGGCATGAGCTGCTGCACCTGCCCATTTTTTAAGTGTACAATTCAGTAGCATTCTCTAAAGTTTTTGAGAAGTACTGGTGTAGGTAACAGAAGGCTCGAAAGAGGTTTTTTGTAAGTTTACTGTGGTAAGAATCTGAAAGCAAAAAGACTGCTAATTATTAAGAGAGGACAGGATTTTGCAGTAGTCAGTTTAATAGGTGATGAGGGTATGAACTGTTACCAGTGGCATTGGAAATAGGAACAGATAGAACACCGCAAGGAAGGAAGAGGTTGTTTAGGTAGGCAAGGAGGGGAGATCTTTTTGAACTTGTTGGGTTTGAAGTGTCAGTGGGACATCAAGTGGACGTGTGGCTTGGAAATGTATTTAGGAAGGTATTACAATAAAGATGGAATCTAAAACAAAGGGATGAAGTTTTCCTGAATGAGCAAAAAGTTATGTGAGAAGTGGGCTCAGGATGGAACATGGAAAATGTAGAAAGAAGGAAATAAATGGTTGGCGACAAAAGGAGACTGATATTATAGAAATCGAGGAGGTAAGATGTTTCCTGAAAAATGGTCAGTGATCAACGTATCAAGTGTGGCAATTGTGTTCAGTAAGAAATAAACTCGGGTTGATTGGTTTGGTTATGACCTTAGCAAGAGGAATTTTAGAAGGTAGGTGAGGTATACAACATATTGTAGTGGAATATTAGTAAGCGGAGATAGCTGATATACCCTATTCTCTGAGGGGACAAGAAGAAAATTATATTATATTTTTAGTAACATAATAACACTGAATACTATCCAAATAACTTTTTTTTGTCTTTTTGCTTTTACCCAAAGTTTGAACTTTCTAAATGCTTTTCTACACTAATTTTTTTGTTTGTTTTTTTAATTTGGCATCTATGATTTATCTTTATTTGTGCCTTTACCTTTAGGTGTGCTGTTTTGTGTAGGTGGTCGAGGTGGATCTGGTGACCCCTTTCGGAGTATTGAATGCTATTCTATCAACAAAAACAGTTGGTTCTTTGGGCCAGAAATGAATAGCCGAAGGCGACATGTGGGTGTAATCTCTGTGGAAGGTGGGTACACGCTTGTCTGAAGTATCACATGCACATGATCACAGTGCTCTTTTTTAAATATCTGAACTTTGAGAATTTATTTTTTATGTAAGAAAATGACAAAATTATAAATAATTTTTAAATAAAATGTTTGATTAGTGATTATTTACTTGCTTTGTGCCCACAGATGCTCAGTGTGCAATCTGTTGCATATATGTGCATGATATGGAGATAAATATCAAAGAAAATAGATATAAAGAGTTAAATTATTCTCAGTTATATTTACCAAAAAATTAAACCAAGAAAAAATGTTTATTGAACCCAAATTATAATTACATATCATCCTTTTTAATACCCATCTAAACTAAAATTAATAATTATTACTGAAATTGTTTTTACTCATTCCTGAAAATGAATTAATTGTATAACCATGGATAGGTTGTCAGAAAACTCTTAAGTGGCCACTTTTTTTATTATAAAAGTATAAATGAATTTTTAACAATATAGAAACATTTTCATAAAAACTGAAAACCGCTTGTAACACAAACACCCAGAAATAGTCCCAGTTAACATTTTGGTGTACAATCTCTCCTCTTTTTCTGTGTGTATTTTTGTTTGTTTCATTGAGTTAAAAAATTGATCATACTAACAGTTTTGTGAAGGTTGAGGTGGGAAGAGCATTTGAGCCTGTGAGTTCAAGACCAGCCTGGGCAAGGTAGGGAGACCTTGTCTCTACAAAAAAAAATTTAAAAATTTAGCCACACACAATGGTGCACACCTGTGGTCTCAGCTACTCGGTAGGCTGAGGTAGAAGCATCACTTGAGCCCAGAGGTTTGAGGCTGCATTGAGCAGTGATAACGCCACTGCACACTCAAGCCTGGGTCACAGAACACAACCCTGTCTCAAAAAGAAAAACCAAACAACAAACCAGTTGTGTGTGTGTGTGTGTGTGTGTGTGTGTGTATATATATATATATATATATATATATATATATATATAAAATTTTTTTTTTGAGGTGAAGTTTTACTCTTGTTGCCCGGGCTAGAAGGCAGTGGCGCAATCTCAGCTCACTACAACCTCTGCCTCCTGGGTTCAAGCAATTTTCCTGCCTCAGCCTCATGAGTAGCTGGGATTACAGGTGCCCACCACCATGCCAGGCTAATATTTTGTATTTTAGTAGAGATGGGGTTTCACCAAGTTGGTCTCAAACTCCTGACCTCAGGTGGTCCACCCACCTCGGCCTCCCAAAGTGCTGGGATTACAGGCGTGAGCCACCATGCCTGGCTACCAGTTTTATATTTTAAAATATAATCTGAGAAGAGCATTTTTCCATTTTATTAAGTGTTCTTTGAAGGCAAAATTAGTGATTTCATCTACCAAGTAATAAAAAGTTGGAAACCCTAAGTGGGGGTATAGTATTAGAGCATTTACTAATAAATTACTTCATGTAGAACAGCATGTTTAGTGCAAGCTTCATTCAACTACTGAAATGACATTGATCCTAACGTTGGACAAAGCAGCAGTTGTTGAAAATTAACTTATGGTGACATTTTAATTATATAGTTTATATATATATATATATATAAAACATTAATGTTATTAATTTATTTGGAGTCAAATGAAAATGCTTCTCTATTTGACAGGTAAAGTGTATGCAGTAGGTGGACATGATGGAAATGAACATTTAGGTAGCATGGAGATGTTTGATCCTCTCACTAATAAATGGATGATGAAGGCATCAATGAACACAAAGAGGTAGATCAGCATGGAAAGTTATTTTGAACTGATGGTGGCAATAAAGTTTCATAAAATTTAAAGGCCTTATTTTAAACTTTTTTTCTATTTTAGAAACTTTAAATACCTTCCCAAACACATTTTGTTAGCATGTCCAAGGTGATGCTTTGTTACCACTTTTTATTTTCTTTTTAGAATTAAAAATGCAATAATGGTTTAGAGTACCATGTGGTAGTCACAGTTTTCACTTATACATGGGCACTGATTTTTTTTAAACGTTTTATTTTGAGATAATTTTAGTTTATCCAGAGAAGTGCAAAAATAGTAAAGTTCCTGTGTACTAGTGGTTCTCAACTGAAGATGATTTTGTCCCCTCTGTGGGACACTTGGCAGTGTCTGGAGACATTTTTGGTTGTCACAGCTTGGGGATGGGAAGATTGCTACTAGCATCTATGGGAAGAAGTCAGGGATGCTGCTAAAGACTCTATAATGCACAGGACAGCCCCCACAACAAATAATCTTCTACCCCAAATGCCAGTGGCAAAGATAATGCCAAATGTCAGTGCCAAGATGGCAAAACCTTGCCGTCTGCCCTGCACCCAGCTTCCCATAATGTTAACATGTTATACAGTCATAGTAGCAATTACCATTGATACAGTACTGTTAATAAATCTGTAGACTTTTTGGGTCAAATTTCCCATACATTCTTATGCTTCTAATTGATTTTTCATTTCTGATTTTATTGCCTAATAATCTAATCCCAGTGAATAGTGGCAGAGATGGTAGATGTTGTCTTGTTCCTGATCTTGTTAGAAAAGTAGTGTTTCACCATTAAATAAGATACTGACTTTAGAACTAAGGTATCTATATTTTTATCATGTTAAGAAAATTGTCCTCGATTTCTATTTTCTTCACTGATTTTTACCCGGATGAGCATTAATATTTTAAGTTCTCACATACATATTTATGTTCTTATTTATATATTTGTGTTCTAATGTTTGTATTCTCATCAACATAAACTGGAATATATGTTGATTAATATATCACTCTAAAGGGGAGATTTTCAGTAACATACTTAGTACTCTAACCTGTTTGACGCTTTTATTAATGACTTGAATACCAAACTTTTAGGTATCCTAAGGTGCAAAGATCACTAAGACGTGTGACCAAATCAAGATTCTAAAGACAGGGTAGGCTACTCTAGGCAAAAACCTAAAAAATGTTAAAATTAGAGTTAGAAGTTAAAACCTGCCTTAGGTATTTTAAAAACTCATTCTCAGCAAACTGACACAAGAGCAGAAAATCAAACACCATATATTCTCGCTCATAGGCGGGTGTTGAACAATGAGAACACATGGACACAGGGAGGGGAGCACTACACACTGGGGTCCGTTGGGGGGAAATGGGGGAGGGGCGGGGGGTGGGGAGGTGGGAAGAGATAGCATGGGGAGAAATGACAGATACAGGTGAGGGGACAGAAGGCAGCAAAGCACACTGCCATGTGTGTACCTATGCAACAATCTTGCATGTTCATCACATGTACCCCAAAACCTAAAATGCAATAAAAAAAAAATTAAATTAAATTAAAAAAAAAAAAAGAACTCAGTTATACCAGTACAACATAACATGGTGGGAAATCAGGTTTATGATTGTTTCATATGGAGAAAAGTACCTTAACCATCATGAAACACAGTTCAGGAAAGGAAGAAAGTGAATATATTGCCTACATTAAAAGAAGTGAAGCCTTAGATTAAGGGAGTTTATAGTTGTATTGTTCTTGACACTGATATGTCCAAATCTGTAGCTGTGGTGTTGAAGTAGGATATATAACACCAGTTGGGATATGGAAATAAAAGATTAGACTCTGTACATTTTTTAAAATGTATTTTGGGTGAATGTTTTAGAATATAACTTACTAGTGCAGTAATGTGTTTATAATTTGAACATAAGATAAATAGGTGCACAAAATTGATTATTATAAATGTGAGAATGAGAATCTGGAATGCATGTAAGTAAGAACTAGCAGGTTAGTAATTCATCTGAAAACCATGTTATCTAGAAAAAACAGTTGAAGCGTTGTGATCTGGAGACAAGAAAACTTACAGGAGTAACTAGATATTTTAAGAGGTGTATGTTGCTTTAGTAGGAATAAATGAATATTTGTTTATGATTCAGTATAATAGAAATGAAACATACTGTAATTCCTCCCAGTGACTGGAATTGTATTTCAGAAAGATCACATATATTTTGCACCAAATGGGAGATTAAATTTGATTATTATTTTTCTTTTTCAATTTATTGTTCAGTAAATAGCATGAGGATTTCAAAGATGAGCTTTATAATTTATATAAAACTAGATATTAGGATAACTAGAATACTAGAATAATTCTGCCTCTGGGTCAGAGTGAAAATATAATTCAAGAAGAGAGAAGAAGGCTATCTGAGTAAATATTGAAAATATTGCTGAAGAGTATCTTTTAATAAAACTGCCAGTGGGCCAGGCATGGTGGCTCATGCCTGTAATCCAAGCACTTTGGGAGACTGAGGTGGGCGGATTGCATGAGGTCAGGAGTTTGAGACCAGCCTGCCCAACATGGCAAAACCCTGTCTCTACTAAAAATACAAAAATTAGCTGGTGTGGTGGTGGGTGCCTGTAATCCCAGCTGCTAGAGAGGCTGAGGCATGAGAGTTGCTTGAACCCAGGAGGTAGAGGTTGCAGTGAGCCGATAACGTGCCTAGATGACAAGAGTGAAACTCTGTCTCAAAAAATGAAAACAAAAAACTGCAGGTTATATATTTATATATATATATATTTATTTATTTATTTATAAATATATCACCCACAGTTTAATAAAAGGAAAGAAAGAAACCTGAACTAGTAAAACCATACCTCAGGCATTGTGGCTTATATGGTTGGCAAACTAGCACCATTGTCTAAGAGTTAAAAATGACTTGTTGTCAAAATGAGCAGTTAAAAATAAACCACACATGGGGATATGTGCTTCTAATTTTCTGTTTTTGATTAATATAACAATATTTTCAACTGAGTTTTCTTCATGTGTTAAAATATGAAAGATTAAATAGAAATGTGAAGACATTTGAAGCTTTTTTTCACCTCATGAGAAAGAATCCTAGGGGGGAAAAAAGCTAACAAATGACAGTTTAATACTTTAATAGGGAGTGATTTATACCACATGATAACTGCATGGATTAAAATGGAGGATAAAATCCCAAACTACATTTTTAATCCTTATATGTCTGCCTCTGTGTAGCTTACACTGTAGAAGAGAAGATACAAATAATGATATAAGGGCAATAACATTAGCACTGGGTGAGTAAAGGGTGCTTGAAGAGTGCAGAACATCTTAATGAAGTCCCATTTAATTTAAGATCTGAAGGAACTGCAGAATTTAGCCTGATTAAGTTATTGTTGGTGGACTGAGTGGTGAGTGGAGGGAAATGAAGAGCCTTCAAAAACCTGGAGATGAAAGAAAGCAAAGAACATGAAAGAGGTCTAGTGTGGTTGAGAGATTAAGGGGAAGAGTGTCTAGAAATGAGGCAGAAAGAATAAGTAAAGGAGGCCTTTCAAGTTTAACAAGGATATTTTATCTGATGGTCTTTGAACTAAGCATATATTTAATATGCATGTATATTAAATATACATTTTATATTTTTATTTAAATAATAGGGGAATTATGGGATCAGATTTCTCTTTTTAGAGAACTTATGCATACAAAATGGAGGAGAGACTTGAGGATGACCAGAGTGAAAACAGTCTAACAGACCAAAAAGGGTTATTTCAATTCTTCATCTCCTATTATAAAGAAATAATGATGACTTGGACTAAACTGATAGAAATTGCCATAGAGAAAGGAGAATGTATTTCAAAGACAGTTCAGAGGTATATAGTCAGTAAGACTTTATGATAATTAGAAAGAACAATTAGATAGAGGCAAGGATGATTCTTCAGTTTCTGCCTTAAGCAACTGGATGGGTAGTGGTATGATTTCTGAGTTAGGAAAACAAGGTGGTAAATGGAATAAAATTCTTTTTTGTGATGGGGGCATATTAGTTTTCTAAGTCTGTGTAACAAATTGCCACCAGTTTAGCAGCTTAAAGTAGCACCTATTTATTAACTCACAGTTCAAAAGTCATGCAGGTTTGCTGGGTTTTCTACTTAGGATCCCACAAGGCCAGAATCAAGAGGGTGGGCTAGGCTTTTATCTGAAGGCACTGGGGAAGAAGCCACTTCCAAGGCAATTTAGATTATTGATACAATTCAGTTTTTTGTGGCTATGGGACTGAGTTTCTCATTTTTACTGGCTGTTGACTAGAAATCACTCTCAGATCCTTTCCACATGTTCCCCTCCACCTTCAAACAAGCAATGGCATACTGCATTCACCTGGTTTTTTGAGTTTCTGACTACCAGCTTGAGAAACCTCTCTGCTTTTGAAGGTTTCTGTGATTAGATTAGGCCCATCAAAGTCACCTCCCTTTTGCCATACAATGTAGCATAATTATGATAGTAACACCAGGGATGAAGGTCATGGGGCACGGGGAGTATCTTACAATCCTCCCTACCACAGGGAGGTGGGCAATGAGTGTCATTTCAGATTAAAGTTAAGATTGAAGAGCCAGCAGGACAGATTTGAGGTAGAAATTGAGTGTATGTCTGGAAATAAATACTTGAGTTATCACAAATCTGTGGAAATAATGGGATTGCTTAGGGAGAGAAAGTGTAGAATGATCCTTAGGGAACTTTTTAATTTAATGATGGAGTAAAGAAGGCACTGATAAAGGAAGCTGAAAAGCACTAGCCAGAGATGTAGGAATTTTAGTGATAATGTGTGTTGTTATGAAAATCAAAAGAGTTTTGAGGAGTAGGAAATAAGCCAATAATGTTGTCTGCTTTTGTGGTTTGAGGAGAGGGACAATCATTAGGCATACTTACTTTACTTTCCTGGCCTAACTTCCTTACATTCTAGAGAACACGTGTACTTGTTCTCAAACACCTGAAAATTTTTATAACCACAGTATTTGGTAAGTCATAGCTTTATATCCAAGAGAAAAGAGGTTGAGGACACTGGAAGTGAATGAATTCTTATCCTAAGAATTCTTTTGTTGGATACTCTCTGATAAATGTAGAGTTAGAATCTCAGTGAAGCAGTTGCTTTCTTCAATAATAACAAAAGCTAATACTTCACAGCACTAAATATGGGCCAGACATTTTTCTTCGTGCTTTTCCTGTATTAACTCATTAACCCCAGCTATGTCCCAGATGAGACACAAGGTAGTAGAGGTTTATAAATTATCCAAGCTAGTAACAAAATAATAGTTTGATCATAGTTCAACTTTTTGATTGCTGCAGTGTGTTTTTTAAGAAATTGAGATTTGTGTGTGTGTGTGTGATCACTGTTAAATGAATTAGCTTTTAACATGGGCCAACTCTCTTACTTTCAAAGAAAAGTAAATACCCTTCAGAAATAAAGCAATGTGATATAAAACTTGTAGTACAAAATTTGATATTCTTTTGTGTGGTGTAATGAAACCTTGCAACAAAATGAGCATTGATTTATAAGTGAGATTGGCTTCTGACCTCCACTGCAAAACTGCTCTGTCAACTCATTAACCTCTCGATTATACAACTGTGTGTTGCACTAATTGAATATTTTGGACTTTTTTTTTTTTTGAGACTGAGTCTTGCTCTGTCATCAGTCTGGAGTGCAGAGGCACAGTCTCGGCTCACTGCAACCTCCACCTCCTGGGTTCAAGAGATTCCCCTGCCTCAGCCTCCCGAGTAGCTGGGACTATGGTTGCGTGCCACCACGCCTGCCTAATTTTTTGTATTTTAGTAGAGACAAGGTTTCACCATGTTGGCCAGAATGGTCTCGATCTCCTGACCTTATGATCCGCCCACCTTAACCTCCCAAAGTGTTGGGATTACAGGCGTGAGCCATTATGCCCGACTTATTTTGGACTTTTTAATACTATTTTATTGGGTTATAATTTATTGTTTTGAGTTTAGTCTGTGTAGGCTATGCACTGTACAACTTTAGGGGACAGTATTCACATAGGGTTGCACAGTTTGGCAATTCTGTAGCCATCTATTGAAAAGCTTTGATAAATCTTAATGGACACAAACTATGCTATTTGAAGATTAACATGATAAATGATTTGCATTAGGACCGTTTTTTTGTGTGACTTTTTTCCTAGAAACAAATCTAGTTGCTAAAGTATGTTTTATTGTCTTTGCAGGCGAGGAATTGCCTTGGCTTCCTTAGGAGGCCCAATTTATGCGATTGGAGGGTTAGATGACAATACTTGCTTCAATGATGTGGAGAGATACGACATAGAGTCTGATCAGTGGAGTACAGTGGCACCAATGAATACTCCCCGTGGAGGAGTTGGCTCTGTTGCTCTAATAGTAAGTTATATGGCAACTTGCCCTTGAATTACATTGCATCACATTCAGTAAGGAAAGGTCCAATATATCACCAGTATGAAGATATTATATATCATATTATTTCATGAAATACTGCCTTGTATATTCTAATTTACCATTAGGACAATATAGAAGTAAATTCAAAATCTAATGTCATGTGTTTTGTTTGACTCTTTTCATTTCAGAACCATGTTTATGCAGTAGGTGGCAATGATGGAATGGCTTCTTTATCTAGCGTGGAAAGATATGATCCACATCTGGATAAGTGGATAGAAGTTAAAGAAATGGGTCAACGAAGAGCAGGCAATGGAGTTAGCAAGCTTCACGGTTGCTTATATGTAGTTGGTAAGTAGATGGGTAATTCTCCAATATATCATTATATATAATGACAACTGTCATACAACAGAGTAACAAAAAATTATGTTGCATTTAGCCTTAAGTAGAATCAATCCTAAGATATGCTTTTGAATTCTCTCCTCTTAAATTTTGTTTATAATTAACAGATAAGAATTGTACATGTTTGGTATGATGCTTTTGGTTTTTTTGTTTTGTTTTGTTTTGTTTTGTTTTAGAGGGAGACAGTGTCTTTCTGTTGCCCAGGCTAGAGTGCAGTGGCACAATCATAGCTCACTGCAGCCTTGATCTCCTGGGCTCACATGATCTTCCTGCCTCAGCCTCTCAAGTAGCTAGGACTACAAGCCCATGCTACCACACCCAGTTTTGTTTTGTTTTGTTTTGTTTTTTTGTAAAGATGGGTCCTTGCTGTGCTGCCCAGGCTGGTCGTGAACAACTGGACTTAAGTGACCCTCCTGCCTTACCCTCCCAGAGTGCTAGGCTTACAGGCATGGGCCACGATGCCCAGCTGGATTGTTAAGGTTACATTTGAAGTGTAAGATTTGTTTTTCTCAACCTAATTTCAAGGGAAATTACATTGAATGATTCAAGTAAGCCAGTAGGTATTTCTTTCTTTCTTTCTTTTTTTTTTTTTGGAGGCAGAGTTTTGCTTTTGTTGCCCAGGTTGGAGTGTAATGGCATGATCTCAGCTCACTGCAACCTTCGCCTTCTGAATTCAAGGTATTCTCCTGCCTCAGCCTCTCAAGTAGCTAGGGTTACAGGCATATGCCACCACGCCTGGCTAATTTTTTGTATTTTTAGTAGAGGCAGGGTTTCTCCATGTTGGTCAGGCTATTGAACTCCTGAGCTCAGGTTATCTACCCACTTCAGCCTCCCAAAGTGCTGGGATTACAGGGGTGAGCCACTATGCCTGGCCAGTATTTCTTTCTTTTTTTTTTTTTTTTTTGAGACAGATTTTTGCTCTGTCACCCAGGCTGGAGCACAGTGGTATGATCTTAGCTCACCGCAATCTCTGTGTCCCGTGTTCAAGGGATTCTCCCACCTCAGTCTACAAGTAGCTGGGATTACAGGCATGCACCACCACATCCAACTACTTTTTGTATTTTTAGTAAAGACAGCATTTCATCATGTTTGCCAGTCTGGTCTTGAATTCCTGACCTCAAGTGATTGGCCTGCCTTGGCTTCCCAAAGTGCTGGAATTACAGGCATGAGCCACTGTGCCTAGCCTAGGTATTTCATATAAATAAAGATTATGCTAATGTTTATATTGCTTTTTTAAAAATTTAACAATTTTTATTACCAAATCCCATGCAGGGCTAACTCTTTAACCCAGCTAGCAGCAAAAAATGTTACTGCTAACAAGATCAAGGATGAAGGTGCAGACCCAATAGAGATTGTGTCTTAAAAAAAAAAGGATTGTGAAATATGTTATATAATATATATACATATGCATAAATATCTTTTAAAAAAAGTAAAACTCCAGTGTTGCAGAAAAAATATTACAAAGTGATTCAGTCCATAAAAAACAGCAGTTAGCAGTTGTGCTATCTTATAAACACCAACTCAGGTTAACCCTAGAAGAAAACCACCTCCCCCCATTAAAGAAGAATTCCCTTTTCTGTTTTCTTGTCTGAATTTCACTGCTTATTCCATGAAACACCCAAAGAATAACAAGACTCAGTTCACATCCCTCAGTCCTTGTCTGTCTGTTAAGGCTAACACCAAGGACTGTTCCTTAGGAATCTTTACCTCTACTACAGTCAGAAAATTGAGCCCTAATTTTGGGGCCAGATTTCCAGAACCCTGCAAAACCCTCATGCTTTCTTCAAGGCCTCTTGAAAGATCAAGGGGGCAGTGTACTTGGCAGAGACCGGAATGCTTGGTGGTCTAGGAAAAGGGGGCCTTTCTAAGCAAAAACACCCCCTAAAACACCTTGTAATTGAAATTCAACCAGGCAAAACCAATTAACAGCAGGCACCAAACTATGGTTCTACCTAAAAGGTGTACATCTTCCCCCTTTAATCATAAAGGTAAGGGAGATAAAGTGAGCCAAGTGAGCATTTGACCATATCTGTCTTCTGAGAAGTTAGCATGTTTTAGGCTGAAGCCATGTTGTAGAGACATTTGGGCAAATGGTGGCCTTTGCTGTGTGCGGCTACATAAAGCTGCCATTTCTGGGCAACCTGGTTCATGGCTGCTTTATGGAACCTTTACTTCTTATGCAGAGTGTTTAAGAATTAATAGGGAAATTTTCAATTTGATTCTGCAAGTGACAAATACTTTTAACAGCAGCTTCTCAATCACCACCAATGGAGACAGACTACCCCTCAGCTGAGGATCATAGCTCCTTCCAGTCAGTGGGCTTCTTACTAGACCTCTACAGGAGCTCATTGGTCTTAGAATATTGTCTACATCCAAAGAATCCTCTGTACACTGAAAATGGGGAGGAATGAGCCATCTGCAGCACATGGTGCTGCTTGCTGTCTGTAGCACTGCCCTTCTTCTGAGCATAAGAGCCCCAGAGCAGGAAGACAAGGCCAATTGTGTCCTGATTTAGCCAGGACACAACGGCATTGGTAAATTGCTCCCACCCTCTCTCCTTATGAGAATTGGCTTGATGGGCCAGAACAGTGAGGACAGCCTGGAATAGGAGAACACCTTTTTGGCCCACCCAGATAAATCTCAATGACCAGGATTAATAAAACCATCCACATCTGTGGACAGCTCTTTATAAATGTTTTCCAAACCACATGGAGGTGGAACAGGTCTTTGAACACTAAAGCAGCCCATGAATTTGATTGGGTCTCTGATAAGGATCCTGTTCTAGGATGACAACCTTCACATCTCTTATGTCACACATCTGGGTCCAGGTGAAGACTTGGTGTGGAGTGGATAAACAGTGTAATGTTTCCTTTCTTCTGCAACAAATCCTATTATCTTGATAAAATACATTTCCCAAACTCCACTGAGGTGCTTATTCCAACTCTCACCAAAGCCCAGGGACATATTACAGGCCATGAGTCTCAGTAGAGCCACAGCCTTGTTTCTCTGGATACCAACCAACTGCTCACTGGCAAGAAGGGCAGCATCTTGGGCTTGTCCTGCTCAGCTGGGGCCTTCCTGGCAGGAGTGACCCCCATGTCCTCACCCTCCTCAGCTGTGGTTGCCCGTATAGGGTCCCTAGGTTATCTGGCACAGGGCTGCAGGCACGTTGCTTCCTGGTAGGGCTCCGGGAGTGAACGCACACCGTCAGAGGACTGCAAAGTTTGCCCTGGCTGTAGCGGTCAGTAATTGGTCTCTGTTGCTTTTCAACTTACTGAATTGCAGAGTTGGGAGGAACATTAGATCAGTGCTTTCTCAAACTGTAATGTGCATATGAACAATCTGGAGATCTTGTTGTATTGCAAAGGAGGGGCCTAGTTTCTGTGTTTCAAACAATTCTAAAGTTATAATGATGCAGTTTCAGGTTCACACAACACACTTCCAGTAGCAAGGCTTTAAATGATTATGAAATGGGAATAATGCCTATCTTTCAGAATCATTTTAAGAATTAGAGATAATGCATGTTAAACATCTCAAAGTGTGTCTGGCACTTTGTAGTTCCCCAATACATGATATATTGTGATTCGTAATACCTTCCTTTATAGAGGAGGAAATGAATTCAGAAAGGTTGTTACTAGCATAGGTCATATTTGCTTACATATCTTGATGTAAATTGTTTGTGTTACATATTTCTTTTGTTTTGTTTTGAGACTGAGTCTCACTCTGTTGCCCAAGCTGGAGTGCAGTGGCACAATCTTGGCTCACTGCAACCTCTGCCTCCCAGGTTCAAGCAATTCTCTGCCTCAGCCTTCAAAGTAGCTGGGATTACAGGTGCCTGCTCCACCACGCCCAGCTAATTTTTGTATTTTTAGTAGAGACGAGGTTTCACCATCTTGGCCAGGCTAGTCTTGACTTCTGACCTTGTGATCTACCTGCTTCGGCCTCCCAAAGTGCTGGGATTACAGGCATGAGCCACCTCACCCAGCCAACATATTTCTTGATAAGAGAATGCTGTATTGTTAGCATATAAGTATCTCTAAGTAGCAGAAGTAATGCTGAATCTTTCAGTGCCCATGTGTATTAAAGAAGGGAAATAACATAATTCATCTTTACATCTTGTCTGATTATCACAATCGCTCTGTAAAGTAGTCAGGAGACTGAGAGAGAATGAATAATTTACTCATAGTCACATGCATAAATAAGTGGCAAAGCTGGAATTTGAACTTGGGTCTGTGAATCCAAAGTTCTTATATTACATCATTGCTACCTCTCACAGCTCCCTATCTACCATATGCATTGACATATGTTATATGTCAACAGGCATAACATTGTTGCTGTTACTTTTTAAATCTTCTGGACACTTAAGATTAGAACAGTCATGGTAAAAACGGGAACAGTTCAGGTTGAACATTAAAAAAATCTTCTTGGCACGTGTATACCTATGTAACCTGCACACTCTGCACATGTACCCCAGAACTTAAAGTATAATAATAAAATAAAAAGTAAAAAAAAATCTTCATGATCATTCAGGTTCTACTTAAAACAAAACAGGTACAACTGATTTGAATAAGCAAAATTTGAAGATGTAAGTATGTCAAACATCCTAATTACATTTTGCTTTTTCTATTCCCCTGCTTCGAATTCTTTATTATAATACATGTTTATGCATTATCTGGGGAAATGATAGGGAACTACTGAAAAAGAAGACTAAGGAAAACATAACTATCAAAAATTTGTCTAGGTACAGTGGCTCACCCCTGTAATCTCAGCACTTTGGGAGTCTGAGGCAGGAGGGTCATTTGAGGCCAGGAGTTCAAAACCAGACTGGGCAACATAGTGAGATCTCACCTCTATTGTAAAAAAATTAAAAAATTATCCAGGTATGGTGGCATGTGCCTATAGTTCCAGCTACTTCGGAGGCCGGGATGGGAGGATCGATTGAGCCCAGGAGGTTGAGAGTGCAGTGAGCTGTGATTACATTACTGCACTTCAGCCTGGGCAACAGAACAAGACCCTGTCTCAAAACAAAAAACAAGCAAATAAAAAAATCCTTAATCTTCTACATTAACATGAGCAATAATTAAAACCAAACCCTTTCTTATAATGAAAAAATGTTTCATATAATGGTTGTGATGGTAATGACACTATAGATTTGTCAAAATTCATGGAAAGAATACACATAAAATTGGTGAATTTTATTTTAATTGATAGTAAAATTAAGCCAATTGGAGAAGTTGACTTGAATGTTTTTTTCTGACCTTGTTCTTAAATAGAGTGATCATAATATCAACACTTTCTATTCTCAGTAAATTAGGCTGTCACCAAAGAAAGCTATTATATTCATTTAGACTTGGAGCCTAAAAAGAAACACACTTGTTTTTAAAAGGAAGAAGCACTGTTAAAATAAGTGTCTATATTTAACCTCAGGAATAGGTTAATTATATTGTTAGAATGAACTATAGAAAGGACTGCTATCTTCTAGAATATGTAGCAAGAAAATGTCATTTTGGCAAAAATTGGTGAGAATTCAGTCACAGTCTACCACCATCTCCGTAATTATGATGGCGATTATAGTATTAAGAGAAAAACTTGGAAAACTTTAACTTTTATCTGGATGAATCATATGATTCAGTTTATTCCTTTCTTTTTTTTTTTTTTTTTTTTTTTTTGAGACGGAGTTTCACTTTTGTTACCCAGGCTGGTGGAGTGCAATGGCGCGATCTCGGCTCACTGCAACCTCCGCCTCCTGGGTTCAGGCAATTCTCCTGCCTCAGCTTCCTGAGTAACTGGGATTACAGGCATGCGCCACCACGCCCAGCTAATTTTTGTATTTTTAGTAGAGACGGGGTTTCACCATGTTGACCAGGATGGTCTCGATCTGTTGACCTCGTGATCCACCCGCCTCGGCCTCCCAAAGTGCTGGGATTACAGGCGTGAGCCACCGTGCCCGGCCGTTTATTCCTTTCTTAAGCCTTCTTACTGTTTAAGATGTACACAGAGAAGGAATCTCAGTACTGTCTTGTCTCTAGAAGGCTAAGGACAAATTTATGAACGTTTATGTTTGTTTTTTTTCTTTTTCCTTAAATTATATGCTTAGATACAGGGACTCCAATTATTTCCTACTGTAAGAGTTTTAATCTTAGTATTGAGGAAAATGTCACTTATATGTTGAATGGTAGACAATGTCTAATAGTAGTTGGTGGTGGTGATAGATAGGTATTGGGATCAATTTTTTTTGAAATTTTCTCTAAACCATTCTAAAATGATTTTAAAAGATTGTGTTCTAAAAGCCATTGAATTGAAATTTACTAGTTAATTCCTAAAAAATGCAATGCTATTTTAAAAATGTTTCTTTACGTAGGTGGTTTTGATGATAATTCTCCTCTGAGTTCAGTTGAACGGTATGACCCCCGAAGCAACAAGTGGGATTATGTGGCAGCACTTACCACTCCCAGAGGTGGAGTGGGAATCGCAACAGTGATGGGCAAAATCTTTGCAGTTGGTGGTCATAATGGCAATGCATACTTAAATACGGTGGAAGCATTTGATCCAGTGCTGAATAGGTAATTTACATGTTGTCTCTGTGCTTTATAGTCTCTTCTGGTACAATAGTAGATTACTCCAGAATGTTAAAATATTGCTAATTGTAGTTAATACTAAGCTTTGGTATCTCTTATCTCCCACTGGAAGCTTGCTATCCTTCAAAACCAGTCCCACATAGGGAGTTTTTGTCTTTGGTTAGTATTTGAGTAAAGTAAATTATCCTTTTTTTTAAGATAACATTTTTTCTTCTCTGTCTTTTCAGGTGGGAGCTTGTTGGATCTGTGTCTCACTGCAGAGCTGGAGCAGGTGTAGCTGTGTGTTCCTGTTTAACTAGCCAAATTCGAGATGTAGGTCATGGATCCAATAATGTGGTTGACTGTATGTGATTTGCGTTCTGGCCACCAATAATTTAGTCATATCTGACAGGTATGAAGGAAAAACAAGATTTTGATATGAACACCTTTCAACACATTTAACTACAACTAGAGTCTTATTTAAATATTAACTGTTGTGACACAAAAGTGTACAACTTTTGGAATAATACCTGAAGAATTATTAGTAATAGAGTTAAATTTGATACTTCCTGCTTTTCCAAATAATGGAGTACGGAAGGAAGACAGTAGAACTTAAAACCATAGCTATCCTGAAAAATGCTTAAAGTAGTGCCAAAAATCTTGAAATCTCTCTCATACTTTTTATTTCGGTGAATCAAAGTGTAATTTGTTGAGTTTTACCTTTTCTTTTGCCTAACATCTTTATGTTAACCTCAGGTAGTGTATTTTTCCTAGAGGAGAGGTTAGTACCTATTCATCAACACAAGGATACAGAAGAAATTTGCACCTTTTAAAGATTGTTTTTACTTGGTGCTGATGAATTTATGCCTTGCTTTTTTTTTTCTAGGTGGTGATTTTTCAATTTCTTGTATATTTACAGAAGCAGAAAACATGTTCTGTCTTTTTGAGTGCCACTTGGCTCCATTTTCAGAAGCTTATAGGAGTGCTATAAGAAGCCTTTAGTTTCAGTTTGAATTGCTAGGACACCAAAAGACCTAGCTGTGCTAACTCCATCCAAATGAGTCTCCAATTTTATTTTTTCATCTTTTGCAAAAAGTATTTGTTTCATAATCAAAAGGTGAACCAGAGGAAATACGAAACAGGGCTTTGATCTGATGTTATTCTGGTGCCCAGTTGAGAGACCTTGAGAAAGAATGATGCGGATTACATGACTCTAATGCTCTTCTTTAATCATTTGATAAATCTTGGATTCAAAATCCAAGATTTATCATCTCTATTTTGCTATATGCCACCATACTGGTTTCTCTGACTATACAGAATCTGTATTTATTTATTAACAGAAATGAATGCATTTTTACAAAAACCCTTTTGTAGACTGTAGTTTATTGATTAGTTCAAGCCCATCATTAACCAATTAAGCATATTGCTGGTAAAAACAGAGGTTGAAATTACTGTTTTACTTATTATATTTAAATCCCTCTGGTGTATTTATTGAAATTTAATTAAAAATATTTCTACGTATTGATTTGGAGCCAGAATATTGATGGACCTACAGATTTAACAGCTCTTCAAGGTTTTAACTAGCATTATAAAATGGCCTATTCGTTATATGTATTTCTTTTAAAAATATTTATCAAGAACATTAAAATATTTTATTTTGTATTTGCAGTGCAGTTTGGCACCTCTCTTCCAGGCCTTACTAAGTTTTTGTTTAATTGTGTCTTCAAATTTATTGTGGTTCACTGCTGGTCAGTTATCTGGTTCATAAGGAAGCTGGGCAATGCAAAACATTTCCTTGATTCATCCAGCCCTGAAGTTCATTGACTGATAGCTCATGTGTCTTATTAAATAGGATTCTGGACTTTTACAGTAGGGTGGAAAGCCACATCACAAAAGCCAGTGCCTGTTGAGTATAGCAAACCAAAAAAATAAAAAGTTTTAAGAGGGGTTAGGTTGGCAGATAAAAGTCTCTCATGAAGCAGATTTAAAAGTTTTCCAGAATGCTAGTTTTTCTACTGTCACCTGTGAGCAAGTTCATGTCATTGCTGGATCTGATCACACCAGTGTTCTCTTATGTATGTACCACCATATTTCTGTCAGTCCAGAGACAGTTAACCCTGTAGCACTTACTAGACTGGTGACAACTGGCTGGATGTGGAGAGTGTCGAAACCTGGCTTCAGCTGTCTTATTTCTCATGTCTAATGGAGTTTGTATATCACAGTGCTTGTTTAGCTAAGGTTACTAATATGTTTGTTGTATTTATTTTCAGGGGATAGGATCTTATTATTTCTATTTAAAATGTTTTTTTCTTTGACATATTTCTGTCTTTGTTATATGTAAGGAATTTAGAGGGCATAAGCGTTATTATATTTTCATTTCTAGTTTTTACCATACAATGGTTATCTAACATACCAAGTTGGTATGCTACCTATCCGTAAAATATGAAATACTCATAAGAGAACTAAAGTGTATGCATAATCAGAAGCACAGCCTTGAAGGACCTGACAGCAGTATGAAAAGATAAATAGCCAGGTGCGGTGGCTCACACCTGTAATCCCAACATTTTGGGAGGCCAAGATGGGCGGATCACCTGAGGTCAAGAGTTTGAGACCAGCCTGACCAACATGGCAAAACCCCATCTCTACTAAAAATACGAAATTAGCTGGGCATGTTGGCACATGCCTGTAATCCCAGCTACTTGGGAAGCTGAGGCAGAAGAATTGCTTCAACCCAGGAGGTGGAGGTTGCAATGTGCTGAAGTCATGCCATTGCACTCCAGCCAAGGGAAACGAGTGAAACTCCATCTCAAAACAAAAACAAAAACAAAAACAAAAACAAAACAAAACAAAACAAAACAAAAAAAGATAAATAGCAGAATCAATATGCACAGTTCTCTTTATCAGGCAAAAACACATTGATTGAGATGTGAAATTAGAATCAGGCTGAAGGAATCATGCGGTTGAAAGATGATTATACTCATAGAAATGAAGAGATGAAATATTCAAATATTCAAAGAAGTTGCCTACTTTATTGTGAGACTTATCACTTTAACCTCATATGTTAACAGCACCTGCCAAAAAGTGATATGAAATAGAGCTAAAATACTGAAATTGTAAATGGACAAAAGAAACCATGAAAATTTGTGTATTATTTCTTCAATAAATATTTCTAGGTGCTTTGTGATTCTTTCATTTAGTCATTAAAGCCATTGCTTTATGATATTGCACTGCCACTTTAAAACAAGTTACCTGACATTGTTTTTGACGAATTTCACTATATTCTTATGTAATTATTTCTAAAATGTTTCAATAAACTATGTACTCCCTCTAAGGAGTATTTTATTCATTCTAATTCCCAAATAAACTTTGAACTTACAGTGCTGTTAATGACTTCTTGAAATTACATAAACTATTCTTGTAAATGGTAAACTTGAGAATTTTCTTTGCTTCTTTTTTCTCTATGTCTTATATGGTAAAGAAAGAATGCCTTCAGAATCTAATTCATGTTGTATCAGTTAAGAATGTTTCTGTGGTTTCTCATATCAGATATGTAAAGAAATTATTATTGGGATGCTGTTGGCTATGTCTCTTTCCCCTCCATGTAAAATTCCAAGTGTTTGTAAAACTTCTCTTTAATATTTTCTTAAAACCATTTGTAAATTTGTGTTATAATACTTCAGCAAATCAATGTAATAAGTGGTAAATATATATCACCAGCTATTGACATCAAAAAGCCGGGGTCACATCAGTGCTGTTTATTTAATTAAAATATATTGCATATCTCTATTAGCACAAATTTTTTCCTATAAGATCTGTGTAACTGCTTCTCATTATTTGATTGCCATTATGGAATCCTATCAGAACTATATAATTTTTTATTCTCCATTCCTCAGATACAAAATTGAGTAGGTTGGCTATATTTTTCTCCTTATATGAAGGATCTTTAACTGAAAATTTTAGAAAGCTTTTCATTTTCCCTTACAAAAATTAAAGTTTGAGGGTAACTGAGGTAAGTAGTTTCACTAATCATAAGCAGTTGTCTCTTCAGTAATTTCAGACTTGTACTATGTAGAAATGAGACTGCACATTAGGATGACAGTTGTCCTTCCAAGTAGAAACCTTGCAAAGTTGTAGCTTTTGCAAAGTTGTTGCTTTTTTTTCTTCTTTTTCTGTTTTTTTTTTTTTTTTTGAGATGGAGTTTCGCTGTTGTTACCCAGGCTGGAGTGCAATGGCACGATCTCGGCTCACCGCAACCTCCGCCTCATGGGTTCAAGCAATTCTCCTGCCTCAGCCTCCCGAGTAGCTGGGATTACAGGCACGCACCACTACGCCTGGCTAATTTTTGTATTTTTTTTTTTTAGTAGAGACGGGGTTTCACCTTGTTGACCAAGATGGTCTCGATCTCTTGACCTCATGATCCACCCGCCTCGGCCTCCCAAAGTGCTGGGATTATAGGCGTGAGCCACCACACCTGGCCATGTTGCTTTTTTTTTTTTTAAGTAACATTGCCATTGCTAAAAATTCTTTTGAAACTCGTCTTTGAAAATAGCCTGAGTTCATTTGTAAGTCACTCAAAAGAATTAGTCTCATCATAGTCATATGTTAATTTTGACCAAAATCTTAACTTGATTATTCATCAAACATGATTGAAAATATTTCTTATTTTCATAGATGAAATCCACCTCCAAAGAATTAAGGTTTTCCTCTACTGGTAAAAATGTTTTCAACACTAAACAGTTTGAATTAAGTATTTCTAAAATCATCCTGAACAATAGCAAGGTCAGTGAAAGAAGTATATAGTCTCTTTGAGGGTAACCTTATTTGAATGCAGAAATTCTGGTTTTGTTTTGTTTTGTTTTGTTTTTGACAAGTCACTCTTTCATTATCTTAATGGTTTGTGGCTAAGTTCAGTATACCTGGAAAACTCTTCAGAATATAAGGGGTTTCTTAGATTTGAGTAATAGTCATGGGGAGTATTAGCTATCATTTAAAAAATATATCACCTGTACCAGTCACTTCATAATACTTCTGATGTTTACAGTAATTCAGTACTTTACAGTTAAAAAAAAGGTTCAAAAGCTAAAAAAAAAAAATAGGTTCAAAGACATTAAATAACTAGTCCAAGATCTACAACTAAGTTAGTTATTGACTAATATTCTTTGTGACTAAAAAACTCAACTGCTCCACCTATATCAGTTATACATACTTCTGCTTTCACTAGGTAATACAGTACAGATACATTAAGAATATAATTTCCTGTTTTTTAGTAGTCTCTTAGCAGTATGAAAATTTTTCTGGTCACCACATTTCTCTCTCTTCTTTTTTTTTTGGAGACAAAATCTCACTTTGTCACCCAGGCTGGAGTACAGTAGTGGCATGTTCTCGGCTGACTGCAACCTCCTCCTCCCGGGTTCAAGTGATTCTCCTGCTTCAGCCTCATTTATTTATTTATTTATTTATTTATTTATTTATTTATTTATTTATTTATTTTTGAGACTAGAGTCTCACTCTGTTGCCCAGGCTGGAGTGCAATAGCACCATCTTGGCTCACTGCAACCTCCGCCTCCTGGGTTCCCACGATTCTCTTGCCTCAGCCTCCCAAGTAGCTGAGTTTACAGGTATGTGCAAACACACCTGGCTAATTTTTGTATTTTTGGTAGAGATGGGGTTTCACCATGTTGGCCAGGCTTGTCTCAAACTCCTAACCTCAAATGATCTGCCCACCTCGGTATCCTAAAGTGCTGGGATTACAGGTGTGAGCCACCGTGCCTGGCCTGGTCACTACATTTGTGTATGTAATATTTGATACATATGTAAAACTATATGCAACATGAAGGCATAATAATAAAATACCTGTGACACTACCCACTAAGAACTAGAGCTTTTCTGGTATTAACCCTACCTTTGTGTTCCTTCTCAATTACAATCTGCAGCCTACTCTTTAGGGGTAACTGCTACCTTGAATCTATCATTTCTTTGCTTTTTTTTCCCTTTTGCTTTTACACATATATCCCATGGCTATATATTGTTTGCTTTTATGAGCTTTATAAAAAAGTATCCTGTATGTAGTCTTACATAACTTGATGTTTTTATTCAACAGGTTTATTTTCACAATTTATTTTGTTGGGTCTAGTTTTCACTTTTTTTTCCTGCTGTTACAAACAATGCTGAAACAAACATTCATATCCAATTTCTTGGTGCTCATGTCCAAAAATTTCTTTAAGGTATAAATCTAGAAACAAAGTTGGTGGTTTATAAGGCATGTGCCTGATCAGCTTTATAACAGTTTTACAAGATAATGCCAAGTTGTTTTCAAAACTGGCTACACCACTTTACAGTATGGTTTCCTATTTACTTGCTGTCATAAGACCCCATTCTTTCTAATCTGGTAGGTGTAAAATGGCATTTTATTGTGGCTTTAAATTGCCTTTTCCTTATGAATGTGACATCACTTCAGTATAAAGAAAAAAATGCATTTTCCTGATTATAAGTTAAAAACATTTTCATGTTTGTCATTCCTGTTTCTTCTGTGAAATATTTCTTGATGTCTTTTGTTTATTTTTCAATGTTTTCTCTTATTTAAGAGTTCTTTATATTTAGGATACTGATATTTTTGTTTTGTTGTTGTTGTTGTTGTTCTTGCACATATCTTCACCCAGTTTGTGGCTTATCTTTTCACTTTGGGTTTTTTTGTAAACAAAACTTAATTTTAATATATTTAAATGTGAGTCCTTTTTATGTTTTACACTTTGTCCTATCCTAGGGTCATAGCTACTTAGAGTCACTTCTGAAAATCAAAAAAGTGTCTCATAGTCAACTTTTTAGTTCACCTGGAATTGATTTGCGCATGTGTGATACAGATTAAAAATTTCATTTTTTTTTACTATGCAGAAAATCAATTTTCTCTGCACCATTTATTGACTAATATATCCTTTCTTCAGAGGCTTTACTTACATGGAAATTTGCCATTATAGCCAAATGTTTATTTTGGGACTTCCCTTTCTGTTCCATTGGTCAATTTGCCTAAGCAAGGGCCACATAGTACATTAAATTGCTATAACTTGATTATATGTCTTGATACCTGGCAGGGAAAGTCTCTTACCTTTGTATTTTTCTTAAGGAATGTTGTTGGCCTTTTGGTTTGTTGTTGTTGTTGTTCTGAGACAGGGTCTAGCTCTGTCACCCAGGCTGGAGTGCAGTGGCATGATCATGGCTCACTCCAACCTCAGCCTCCCCGGACTCAGGTGATCCCCCACCCTCACCACCTTCACCTGCCCCCCTCCCTCGACTCTTCCACCCCACCTTCCTGTGTTGCCCAGGCTCGTCTTAAACTCTTGGGCTCAAGCAGTTCTCTCGCTTCAGCCTCCCAAAGTGCTGGGATTACAGGTATGATCCACCATGCCTGGCCTGCTTTTAAATTCAGTATGAGAATCAGTTTGTAAAATTCCTTGGAGATAAAAAGCAAACAGCTCTAAGAAATTTATTTTCCTTTTTTCTTTTTTTTTTTTTTTTTCTGTCAGCCAGGCTGGAGTGCAGTGGTGCAAGCATGGCTCATTGCAGCCTCAAACTCCTGGGCTCAAGCAGTCCTTCCACCTGAGCTGGTAGGTAAGATCCCAGGTAGCTGAGATCACAGGTGTACACCATTAGGCCCAGCTAATTTTAAAATTTTTTGTTAGGACAGGGTCTCACCATGTTGCCTGGCTGGTCTTGAACTCCTGGCCTCAAGCAATCCTCCTGCCTCAGCCTCCCAAAGTGCTGGGATTACAAGTATGAGCTACCATGCCTGGCCTGCTTTTTAAATTCAGTATGAGA